ACCATAGGGACCATTCGTGTAACTTACTCTTTTTTTTTTTTTGTAATTTCTTGTTAATATTTTTTTGAGTAGTATAATTTGTAATTGGTTTCTTGATTCTTATAATCATAGATTCTTTTTTCAAACAAAAAGAAGACGGTAATAACCGACAACCATATTTTTTTAGGGAAAATATTAGACAATTTTTTTCTTTATCATATCTCTTTCAGTTTTACAAACTCTATTATGTTATATGATTTTTTTCTAAAAAAATATATACAACTCCCTTTTATCCTAAATTCTTGGCTCCGTCCCTGAGTCTGATCCAAGATTTTAACTTTATCCACCGAATATCCATTTAAATTGAATTAATATAAATTTCAATGATATATATATATATATATATAAAGAAAAAAAAACTTGGAACAAAATCAAAATTATCATCAAGTCAAATATGTGTTATAGTTATTAAACCAGATCAGTAATATTATTTTGGGCCTTGTTACTGGGCCGGTACCACTTTTTCATTTTTACGTTTTGTATTAATTGCAACATTTTCTTTTTAAACAAACCTTCATGTTCATACGAAATGAAGGTTTTTACATGATGTGAAAATTGACTTTTGGTCAATCGTCGAACATTTGCTATGGTTAATAATCCTTTTACAGATACATTTGATAAAGATTCTACATCTATCTTTTATCCATTTCACTTGACATTTAAGTCTCTTTCATATCTTGATTCTTCCAACGACACGATGGCATCATTCAACATAATTCAAAAGCAAAAGAATGGCATGGAACGTGACCAACATGGATCATAGTCGGACCATAAGTGGTTAGATCTGTTTGAGGAAATTAGGTGTAGTTAGTTTTATGAAATTTCTTATTGTTTTTACTCTCATATACTGATACCTTTTATGTTCGCAGTTGTTGCATTATATCAAATTACACAATTAGGTTTCTAGTGTTCATAGTTCAACATGTTCACTAAATTTGTTGAAAAACCTGCAAACGCGAAAATCAAATAAATAACATCTAAATGTATAAACTATTATTGAAAGATACCATTGTCATAGCAATCTTACAATGGAATAATCAATTGTTTGTGGTGCGAGTTACTATTTTATGTATGTATATCTTAGTTGGGCTAGCATGTGTGGACTGGCTACTATTGGCTTTAACTAAAAGCTAAAATGGACCAAACGCTTAAGGACTTAAAGAGAACAGTGAAGATGCCTGATAGTCAAAGGACTAGGCTAGGAGACTAGGAGTCTGTTTATAAGCATTTGCACAATGGTTGGTCTCATCATTCAGGTCATATTTTTGGAGAGAAAATTTGAGAGTGATAAAAATGGTAAGCAGCATCATATATATATCTATATATATATATATATATATATATATATATATATATATATATATATATATATATATATATATAAAATCAATTTTTAGACTTAGAACAGTTTAAATATTTGTAAGCCACGTATTTAAACTGAAGGTTGTGTTAAATTACATTTTTTGATACTTCTTTTGCAGCATAAGGACCCTTACTATAACTTATTATAATATATATATATATATATATATATATATATATATATATATATATATATATATATATATATATATATATATATATATATATATATATATATATATATAGGTAAAGGTTCAAATGAGAACCACAAAAGAATAAGAACCCTAAGAACTTTTAATTTTAACTTGTTAAAATAAAATAGTGACATTATTGTAAATAACAACACATTTGAGTCAACAATTTATCAAATGTTGCAAACTAGATCTAAAAGCTAGATTTGAATCTTTCTTTCATAGTTCTCAAAAAATCAACCCATCAATTCTCTCCCTCATTCCATCGGTGGAAGGAACCTCTAGCTGCCGTCGCCGCCGCTGCTAGGGCTGACAATTCTCGACACGACCCACGACACGACTCGCGACACGACACGAAATAAATGGGTTTGGGTTGAGTTTTTCAACCCGCCAACACGCCAACCCGTTTATTAAACGGGTCATATATATATTTCTCAAAAAATAAACGGGTTGACCCGCCAACCCGTTTATATTTTTAATAAAAAAAATATTTTATTTTTAAATGTATTTAATAAGTATTATATAATAAATTACTTTAGCATTTGAATTATCTATGTTTGTATTAATGTTTAGTTTGAACATGTTTCTATGAATGTTTTAAATATTCATTTGGATGTTTAAGACTTAAGTGTCTAAAATTCAGATACGTTTGCATCAACCATCAAGAATTTATTCATATTTAATTGTCAATTTTATTTATGGAATCCGATCCACGAACCCGCCAACCTGTGAACCCGTATAAATAAATGGGTTGACGCGTCATATATGGGTTTATGTTCCAAACCTGCCAACACGTGACCCGCCAACCCGTGACCTGTACATTTAAATGTGTCGTGTTTGGGTTAACATATTTTGACCCGCCAACCCGCGGCACGCCAACCCGAACACGACACGATTGCCAGGCCTAGCCGCTGCCGATGTCCACTTTGCCGGAATCCAAGTTTGCACCGTCGCCGTCATCCAGATGTGTGATTTCTACCCGAGATCCACCTGATCGAACCACCAGATACATCGCTAGCTTCGTCCTCCTCCACCTTCAGAGCTATGATTTTTGCCGGTAGCCGCCACCACCGACGGCCAGCGAGATCAGATTTACAGCTGCATCAACTCCGAAGACATACCTCCGACGACGACATCATCTTCTTCATCCTCCACCGTCACTCCACGAGATCTACAACCATATCCATCATTTTCTCTCTGATTTCTTGTGAACCAATAGATCTACATCAGATCTCTCTAGATCTGGATCAGATCTGCATCGGATATCACCAGATCTGATGTGTTTGTGAATTTTCAATTCAGATCAGATCTGGTCGGCGCACCAAATCTCGAGATTAACGAAGTTTCAAACGCCAGACCTAACACCAGATCTTCATCAAATCTGATGTGTATGATGCATTTCATGTATGGATCAGGTGTATCTGGTGCATTTCATGTTGGCTTGCATTAGATCTGATTTTTGAAGATATATCTTCAAAAAAAATCAGGTATGTTGATTTTTATAGATAAATCTCCTTTAAGTTTTGTTTTCTACTTGTTTTTCTACTTGCATCTGTTGTAGATCTTTATGATATAGTTTTTTCTGTTAAAGTGTAAATTTGATGTTTTAATCTCTCATTTGTCGTATAATTTTGTTAATCTTACTTTTAACTAGCTATTAAGTTGTGAATGTATAATTTTTTTGAATTAAACTTTGAATTTATTATACTAGTTTGTGAATTTTCTATATTAAATAGTGTATTAATTGTAATAAGTGTTTTAAGTTGATAATATTGATGTGAATACTACTTTTTGTGTATTAAAATGTGAATTTAGTGTACTAAGCTGTGATTTTTGTGTTTTAAACTGTGAATTGATTGTATTAAGCTTTGAAATTTCTTTTTAAGCTACGAATTGACTGCATTAAGCTGTGAATTTTCTGTTTGAACTGTAAATTAACTAGATTAAGCTGTGAATTATATGTATGAAGCTATCAAGTTACTTTTATTAAGTTAAGCTATGAATTTTGTGTATAAACTTTGAATTATATGCAACTTTCAAAATTTGAGTGTGTTATCCTGTCCGGTTCCCAGTTTTGGGCCGGTTCCAAGACCGGTTCTTACCGGGTCCCGGTTCCAAAAATTGACGAAATTATAGTATCGGTCCCGGCCCGACCGGTTCCATCGGATTCCGGTTCCGGCCGGTTCCCCGGTCCATTTCCTCATCCCTACGTTCAACCTCACACAACTATCGTCATTTTTATGCATTCTCACTAATTTTTATTCATTTTTGTTCTCACACATCGTTTTTCACTCATTTTCATTCTTACAGAATACGACTCAATAGGGTTGTGCATGGGTCGGTTTGGGTCGGTTTTGGACCCAAACCCAATCCAACCCAACCCATAAATGGTCGGTTTCTGGTTTTCAGAACCCAATAGGATCGGTTTCTGTTCGGTTCGGTTTCTCAGGTTCTGAGGTCGGTTTGGGCGGTTTTTCGGTTTCTTGGGTTCAACCCATACACTCACGGGTTCTGGGTTTAAACCCATGGGTTTTGGGTTTTAACCTATTTTCCATAAATGAAGCAAAAAGTTAAATACTTCAAAAAACACCAAATTTAAGTTAAATACTTCAAAAAACATGAGTCTTATAGCAATTAGTCTATTACAAGTTACAAACAAAGCCCGAAATAGTCTATTACAACCAAAACACAATCAAGTATGGGTCGGTTTCTCGGGTTGGATGGGTTGGTTTCTTGGGGCGGTTTGTCGGTTTTAAGTATGGGCCGGTTTCTCGGGTTGGATGGGTTGGTTTCTGGGTAAAAACCGAAACCGAACCTGATTTTTTAGTTTTTAAAAAATTCAAACCCAAACAGTTGGTTTTGCTTCGGTTTCGGTTTTTTCGGTTTTAGTCGGTTTCTCGGTTTCTTGGTTTGGGTTTGCTCACCCCTACGACTCAATAACATTCTGTCAACATTCTGACAGAATAATACTAATAATAAAAAATCTATAATAACCTTATAGGCGATTTAATTAGTGAGAATATGTGATAATGACAATAGTTATGTAAGATGAAACGTATTCATATTATCAAACAACATATTTTGTTTGTCATTCTTACAGAATAGCACTGTCCACACGTTCGCACAATAGATGTCAATCCACATTTGAACCTAGCTATATATATATATATATATATATATATATATATATATATATATATATATATATGCAAACTAGTGATGAAAATGCAAAACACGCACATGTTCGATGACAATATGTTCCCTAACAAAATGTAAATCAATTTCCATATGTTTGGTATGTTGATGTTGTACATGAATTGAAGTCAAATACATGACACTCACATTATCGCAAAACATAACCACTGCTTTAGATAGTGGACAAGATAACTAGAGTAGGAGATTGCAAAGTTAAGCGGCTCCGACAGCCACATTAGCGACACCTGGTACTCAAGTTGTAGTGTAGAATGTGAATTCAAGTTTTGATTCTCTATGTATATTAACACCTGGTTGGGTAAAGAAAGTTGATGAAATAGAACGAAACATCTCTAAAAAGTGGATTAACTTTAAAAATGATGGTCCATCATTTGATTCTAGACCTGATGAATGTGTAGATGAGCTGAATTCTTCGAAAGGGATTGATGTTAAAGATGATGCAGTTGGTGAGCAAACGAAAGAACTGAAACAGGAATATCATAGAATGACAAAGAGAACTGTTGCAGCTGTAGTAGGGATTAACATAAGAGAAAAAAGTGAAATGAAGCATGGACCTTCGTTGAAGTCACCTTTTGTATAAAGAGTTGTTGACTTGAAAGATGCAGTCGAGCAAAAAGAAATTCTTGTTGCACAAATGATCATTGGATTAGGATTACATAAAAGGTGTTGTTGAATATTTTTTAATTTATGTTTTTATCAAATATAATGTGTCTGGCAACTAAAATATATTTTATAGTATACCATGAATATGCAAATTATGTAATTTGGAATGTGTTATGATAGTTATGTAGATAATAAACTAAAATGTGTCTGAGAAAATTTTACCGACAATAAGTATAAAAATTAACTTACCAGGAATGTGCATTCTTTCAGAAATATTTTCAGCAATTGTAAACTCCCATTCATGGTCGTGATCCATTATGTCAACATTTTCGATTGAGGGAGTATCATCATCGGATGAAAAAATTTCATCAACTCTTGACAAGATTTCATCATCGATTGAGGCAGTTTCATCTTCAAACATATCGTTTATATCATCAAAATCGTTGGGGAATAACAAATCCATAACTATATGTTATGGAATAAACAGAATTCTTAAGATTGGAGGACAAGCTTGAATAGAAAATATGCAAATGATGAATATGAAAAAAAAAATAGAATAATAGAAGCTTGAAACATGGATACATGATTGCTGTATGATCATTTCCTAATTGTTTATTATTAGTGATATTAAATGTACCATAATTGTAGGAGGTTATCATTGAAACAGTCATTAAATATAATTTGTAAATCCGAAAAATGCCATTATTAATGTAAAATCATATAATTTTTTTATTTAATAAATTATATGTATATTGATTGGCTGAAATTTGTCCTCATGTTCTCACTTTAAAAAATGTTTTTTCACATGAACTTATATATATATATATATATATATATATATATATATATATATGCAATGTGGTGCGGTTTAAAACACATTTTTTTAATTATAAACCGCAAACTGCACCGCATTGTGCGGTTTAACAAAAATACAAACCGCAAACCGTGTCACGTATATTTAAATTGCAATATGCAATACGGTTTGGTGATGTGCATGAGGTTTGTGTGGTTTTATGTACACCCCTTGTCTAAATAGATAAATTTTCCAACGTTATCCATTATAAAGCCACAAACTACCAAGATCTACAACCTTAAGTTGAGAAACGACCAAAAACCGATATTTCTTTATGCATGGAGTAAAGAGAACTCTTGCATGCACTCTTTACTCCACTAAATGACCGTATAGCATCCCAAACATTAGTCAAAAGCTCAAGAGTTCTTCCAACTCAATGGAATAAGTCACAAACGGACCAAAACATACTAAAATCGACAAAAACCAAAAAAACTCTTAGATCTATGGAGGAAACATAAAAAAGCTTAAAACTTTAGAGTTTGCCAAGGTCCAAAGCCATTAAGAAGACTGAAATCTTCAAGATCCCTGCTCATTTGCCCAAGATTTCATGCATCAACACACAATAATATTATATTAGCAAAAAGGAGCACCAAAATTAATTTAGGAGAGAGGATGAGCTCTAAACACTTTAATGGAGGCTAGGGTTTCATTATAAGTATTTTGGAGGAGGTGGAGATTGAAAATGAGGAACTATAATGTTTATGGCCTTTAAATACTCCAAAAAATATGCAGCCCACTATGTCGGAGGTGCCCCACGCTCATTAAAGGGCGCTTGGCGTTTCTCAGATAAATTCAAGATTTTTTAGTTTTTCAGCTTCAACTTCAAAAAATCAAAAATTCTTCATTCTGAACCCGATTTCAGTGATCTTTATATGTACGCGAAGATATTGACAAGCCCCACAGTTATATCTGATTTTTCTTTTAACTTAAAGCATACCGAGCTTAATTTATTAATACATGCAAAACAATCCAGAATATCACTTTTTCCCATTTTACCCCTTGGCTACAAAGCAAAATTCAAGGGCTTAAATAATTTATCCAACATTATCAACATCTACTAAGGTCTAAAATTTATTACCTTGAAGCCCTAAGACCTTTACTTAATCAAATTACGGTCTGCTATCCCGAATCAGAAACATTTCGAAACTGGATGTTACATTGGAGGAATGTTTTTAAAATTCTTATCCTTTCTCGCCAGCCAAATACACCATACAACACCATATATAATGCTTAAGATGATTTTCTTTTTGTTAGGGTGGTTTCCTCATTGAGCTGCATACTAGATTAAATCTGCCACTCTAGAAAAGCATTGGATATCAATATCACACCATTTAAATATCCACTTAAAGGTGTAATGAGAAAATAAACATTCAACTAACAGGTGGTCCATGGTTTCCACCTCATTCGAGCACATTGAAAAATTATTTGAGTTAATGTTAATTCCCTATGAGATAGACCTACATCAGTTGGAGTTCGTAGCATCATGCCCTCCAAATAAAACACTAGTAGTTTGATTGGAACCACATGAATCCAATCCATAATATTTATCGAGGTAGTTTTTAACACCAAGTCAATTTTATCTCTTAAGATATCCGCCTTAAAAATGCCATCTTGAGCCAAAGAGAATTTCCATGAGTCTTTGGTATTAGAGAAATTAAATGAGTTTACAATCACATGAAGTTGTTCGAGGTTCAGCAAGCTCAACAGGCGACGAAGGGATTGTAACGTCTGGATTCGCCAGGTAAAATTCTTGCATTAAACTTCTTATTACCCGTGGACTAGACCCGAGTACGCTGGGCATACACAAGGTACACACGGTGTACTCTCATGCATGTGCAAAGTCGGGGCGTCCCCTACATACGCAGGGCGTATGCGAGCCAGGTGAAAACCCTAATTTTTAGGGTTTGCACCCTATTTAAGCTCATTAAAACCCTCAAGCCTTTCACCTTATCATCCCCCAATGTCTTTTGTACTAATCTTTAAACCCTAGCCACCTTGAAGAGCATTCTTGAGCTTACTAAGAGGTTTGGGTGTTCCTTTTGTGATTTTGAAGAAGAATGAGGCTTTAGGAGAAACAAAGGACAAGAAGAAGCTTGTAGGTCCAGAGGTTGTGCATCATTTCTAGCTCATTTGAGGTATAAAGTGTGAAACTTACTCATTCTAGTTCTAGATCTAGGTTTAGGGAAGAACTTAGCATCTTTTGGTCCCATAACTTGGTCTTTTAGAGTATGGGCTACTCCAGACCATTTGAGCTGTCCTTTTGGGCTCTTAAGGGTGCATGAAGTCATAAATATCAAATCTTGGAGGTTAAGACTCAACCATTCATGAGTTGCTGACCACTTAAGAGAGATAGAAGGCTTAATCCATGGTTTGAGTCCCATTAAGTCATGCAAAAGCATAAAGTTTGCAACTTTATGGCTTAAGACACTTTTATGAGTTTGGATATGAATTTTGGACGTTAAAGCTTAATGGTTTAAGTCATTAGAACATTTTTGGTCTGAATCACCAGCACACCGGACGTACTCCTAGGTACACTGCACGTACTGGGTCAGTGCCCCGATTCCGGATCAACACCGTACGTCGAGCGTACGAGCCATGTACGCCGCGCGTACGTAGTCTGTGGGCTTAAGGGATTTTAGGCTCGAGTTTTGTTGGAATTTTTTCCTTGCTTAGGTTCGGGCCTCAGGCCTTTCTGTAGTAGCGGGAAATTTATGGGCTTTAGGCCATTTAGGAGCTCTTGGGCCCATACTAGGCCTTAGGGTCTTTTGGTTGAGCTTGGAATGCCTTTTGGGCCTTGGTGAGGTAGGCCCAATAAGGAAAGGGTTAAGCAACCCTTTGCCTTTAAAGTCAAGATTTAGGGTTTGGACTCTCGGGTTATACTATTAACCTAATTTCTAATTAGGGTTTTATACTTATGATCTAGTGAGAGGATTTCACGGGTCAGCAGCCCGAGTGTGATTGATATCGTCTGTCTGAGGTGAGTTTCCTTCACTGTTTTTGTGGGTCGAAGGCACTAATGTCGCACCACTAGTTTATGCTCGTAGTATGATGATTGTCTTCATGATAATTGTCTGTTATGCATGTATTTTCCTCATGTCTCTATGGCTCTTTCATTATGATATTATGTGGTAGTGGTAGGGGTGAAATAGACCTGAAACTGGTTGAAAGAGACCGAAGGGGTTGAAATATACTCAGTACCAGTTGAAAGAGACTGAAGGGGTGGAAATATACCCAATACCCGTTGAAAGAGACCGAAAGGGTTGAAATATACCTAGTATCGATTGAATAGACTGAAGGGGTTGAAAGAACCCGAAAATGCTTGATTGTTATGTATGGTGTGACATCCCCAATTTCTCGGCCAGAAAAAACCGATTTAGTTTATGCTTTTAAAATAAAATCAGAGTAATCTCTCCAATAAAATATGCGAAATTTGTCCCAAAACAAAATATGATAAAAAAGATATTTATCAAAGCATTTCTCAAAGAAATGTATTTTCATTTCATTGCAAAACTCGGGATGTCCACATCGATATAGACCAAAAGCATAAACAGTACATTATAGGCATTACAACAGTTATTTACATCTACTGGCCTATAATCCAAAAATCCTTCGTCATCATCCAACTATGCTCTGGGTCCACTACCTGTAATATAGAAAGCTGAGTGGGTCAGGCTTGGGAGCCTGGTGAGCATATAGGGTTTTCAACCCAAAATAAATAAATTTATTAATTTCATCAATCAGCAATAAATTTATTAATTTCATCAACCAACAATGACCCTGATTACCTGTTCCCGTTATCCTCACTTTACGTTCCTAAACACCTATCATAAAGGACCTAGCCTAAGGATCATCATCGGGATGGACTTTACTGCTAAGGGGATTCCTCAGCCATATATGTCCGTAAGGCAACCATGAGGGGGATGTAGTATTGTTAGAACCGCTGTCGTACACGATTTAAACAAATAAAAGTATAAGATAAACTGCTTTATTGCACTAACAGGTAGTACAGGTAAGCATGGTCGAATCCTCAGGGACACGTCCTAATGTTTACACCTCTTTGCGTAAGGTGTGAACTGATTCTTGATGAATGCAATAGACATAAAAAAAGGGGGCGGGGGGGGGGGGGGGGGGGGGGTTTATTTTTGAAAATTAACTAACAGAGATTGAAAATGACAAGAAAATGACTAAATTTTAAGTGATGAAAATTCAAATAAGAGAAAGCAATTCCAGTTTCGCGGTGACTCCCCTAATCATATAATTAACCTTCAGCACAATAATTGACTATGCATTGCTTAAACTGGTACTAAAGTTCATTAACAAGCTCTAATGACCTTTGTTACAAAAATCGTTTAATCAAAATAAGTTCTTTAACTTAAACCTAACTTTTTACTAAATTAATCAAACAAGCTCTTGATTAACAAAGAAAAGTTGCATTAGACACAGTGTAATTCCCAGTAAAGTCAATACCTCTCATAAGCTCGGAGGCGTTAGAACTTGTTTGATCAATTCATATCAGACTTAACCCTAATCTAAGAATTAATCTAATACTTGTCACTTTTTACTAATTAGTCTAGACAATTACGGATCTAAACAATTAGATGACTAGAATG